ACTTCAGGACCAGACTCCAAAGAGAAACTGCTGAGCTCCAGTTCATTTGCAAATTTGACACCATCAGATCAGGATTAAACAAAGACTGTGAATGGCTATCCAACTACAGAAGCAGTTTCTCCTCCCTTGGTGTTCACACCAACTGCTAGCAGAGCACCTCCCCCTCCCTGATTGAACTAACCTCGTTATCTCCATACTGATTTATACCTGCCTCTGGAAATTTCCATTACTTGCATCTGATGAAGTGGGCATTCACCCACGAAAGCTTATGCTCCAATACTTCTGTTAGTCTTAAAGGTGCCACAGGACCCTCTGTTGCTTTTGGCATAGAGCTAGCGCTCATTTCTAGAGACACTTGGTAACCATGTAGCTTAGGGTCTGACTGATTCAGAAGGGTTACATATTTGGGTCTCTTTAAAACTGAATTTCTTCAGTTTGAAGTATGTCACACTAGAGACTCCATGGGTAAGGCTTTAAAACAGTTTATATTATAAACTGAATTCTCATTCACACAACCCAATTTCCTGGGGGTGGGGGAGGTAGGGGGCCAGGAAGGGATGACTTCCACCTACCATTTCTCACGTGAAGTCATTCACAGAAAAGTGTTCAGGAAAGTGTCAGATTAATTGGACAAATATTCTGGTTGATAAAGGTTCGTATCCCACACTCATCACCGGGGGATCTGAGCACTTTCCAGTGGCACATTAAGAAATTTTAACTAATGTTTATCACATGTCTGTTCTCTCATCCTCTTCCCAAGGAGAGAATTGGGTGTGTAGTGTAGTGTTCTGCTGTGTTAGGGTTTTTACAAGAATGAGATGTTGAAGAGGTGGGAATTTTTTCTGAAAATTATTCTCTCTTCTGTCCACTCAGAACTCCAAAGCAGCTTCATCTAAGAACTCCTAGCTTCTGTTATACTCTAATCTGCGGTGACAATAGTGCATGGGACACCTTGACCAAGCTGGAGCATAAAAGCTGTTAGTCATTAGAGACCGAGCCTGAGATACTGCCCTGCCCTGGTGCCACTATGTAGACCTGTTCAAAGGAAGTGCCAAGTGCATGTGAAATGATAACAGATCAGATGACTAGTGTTTTACGCCCACT